ATGCAAATCGATTTTCTGGTTCGTTTTTCTTATTAAGCTATATCTTTTTCTTCTATGCCCTCACTTTCATATTATATATGAAGTTGAGTCAATGTTTTTGCTTATTAGTGTTATTGTATTCTGTTACTTCTTTTTCCTTTTCTTTTCTGTTCTTCTATCATATGTGATATGTAATCGAGTCACTCGATATGCCTATTCGTATATATGTATACATCGATATTTTCGTTCCTGTTCTTCTCTTGTACTTATCAAATGCAACGAGGTAATATTATTGCTCGTTATTCTTTACTTTCCTCTCCACATTGTACATATCTGTCGACATACACAAGCCAATCCACTATCCAACAACATTCACCACAATTCTTCATCCATCTCCTCCAACGTGTTCCACGAAACATAAGACACTAGTCACGCGTCTCGCCGTTTTTTCCTCCCAGCCTTTTCTTTTTGCATGCAATATCTTGCTTCTCTTTAATAAAAGGCTTTGCTACCAAAAAATGTCACATTTGATCTGTTGACATATCGACTTATGATGTCCTGACTTCTGCTAAAATTCCTTATTTTTTTAACCGAAGTGTCCTGCCTATTTTCCTGATTTTGAACTATATACCGCTGCGACCCCTGTAGCATTAGCATTTACCTTTAAACAAAGTAAAACAGTCACTTGTACTTGTCGTTTATTTTAGAATATATATTTCAAAATTATCTCCCATAGTTAGTTACATTTCAATGCTTCGTATATCCTATCGATATATTCGACGATTTAAACGTCATTCATTTAATATATTTTGTTTAGCTCTATTGTTGTATTTATCATTCTCAATACAATACAAGAACTCCATCTTATTTCTACAACATCATCTTTTATCAGTTAAAATATTATTATGGTCTTCTTCATCTACTTTGCCACAGTTATCTCAACGTACACTCATATTAGTTCGTACATCACATCATTGTGAGTCACGCTTGAAATACTTACTTTCAAGCTGGATACCACCAACTCGAATAGAACAAAAAGACAAAAATTTGTATCTTCTAACAGATTATTATGTTCGTAATTCAACATCATATCAAAAATTTGTAAATGTGATTGAAACAAATTGTCCTGGAAGACATAATCAATACGATCTTTGCTGTAAGACAGCTAGTGAATTTGAATTATACTATAATTTAACATCAGTAAGGAAATTATCTATTGATTGGATGTGTCGATTTGATGATGATCATTACATTAATTTAGATAATTTATATTTGTATTTAAAAACATTAGATGCTTCTAATCTATATTATATTGGACGTACAACCTATGATTATCAAAAAGAATCTTATTTCTATAATGTAACATATTTTTTTGCAACTTATGGTGCTGGAGTTTGTTATTCAAAACAGTTATTAAACCAATTGAAACCTTATGTAAACAGAACTGCATTTTCCAATAATTGTATGAAACTTGGTGTCAATGATGATGTTTATATGGGATATTTGATACAATTGAAATTAAACGTCTCGTTAACACGAATAAATGATTTATTACATTCACATTATGAATGGCTTGATGTCTCATTTCGTCGGTTCACATTCAAACAATTAATAAACTCAATAACATTGGGTTTTTCATGGGACAGATATCCGTTGAAATGGATTATCCTTATACATAAATTAATACATCTGTCAAAAACCACTCAACAACATGATTCATTAATGAGTGTGTGGAATTTTATAAGAGATTATGAAAAAGTACATCCAGAAAACTTAGTCAATAAATACGATGACACTTGTACATCATATTGGAAAAAACGAACACAGAAGTAAAAACGACATATCAATTATTATAAACCAAAAACAATGTCACATGAGCAATTTGTTTTAAAGTCGATGTTTCGTCTAATGAATTGACATTATCAAGACAAATAAACACAAACTTATTATACTACAGACTGATATATCTATACATACAGTAGCTGCCAAAAATTTCTTTCTTCCTCAATTAGAAAATAGAAGGAGCTGAGAACCTCCAATGTCCATCGTGTTAGCGCTCGCCATCTTCTGTATGTTTGTGCTTAGTCTCAGATCCAAGTTTCGTTTTGTTCAAGTTTTATTAATAGAGAAAAAAACATCGGATTTTTCTCGCATCAAAATTGTCCAACCATCCTAACAAAAATTCATTTTCGATACAAAAAAGCTCTTTTATAATACAGTTAATATCTCATTGGATATTCTTTTACTCGAATACGTCGTTTAAACAATTTAGAATCGAATCAACCAACTTTTTCAGGCCTGATACCTCGATTCCTTGCCATACTACGAGGAGACATTTTTTCAACTCGTTTTGATTTTTAGATTGTGTGTATTTGAGCATATTTAATTAGATACATAACAAATCGATATATTTTCTGATGAAGAACATCAGGAGAGACTTATGGCGAGCCCTATCTGAACTTTTCTTTTCAATCCATTTTTTAATAATTGAGCCAGGCAAGAAAATGAGTCGCAAAGTCATTCATATTCTCCGAAGAAAATTCTATCATTCTTATCGTTACATTATTAAAAAACTGTTCAAGATGGTTTCTTTTAGATTGGTTTGCTTGCAAGAATATATCATCAGTGATGTTCTTTTAAGTTAACGAAGATTAGTACAGTTCTAACATCGATTGTCAGTTGAATACGACAAGTTCAATGTAGGTTCAAGGTTTTATTAATTTGGATGAATCAAAAAATCTATAAAAAAATAAAACAACGAAGTTTGATATTGTTCAAATGATCTTGTATATTTCTTAGAAGAGAAAAATGACGAGCGTGACCAAAAGAAACAAGATCACAAGTAGACAGGACCACCAAAACATAAGATCCATTAGAATCGATATACTGATGTCGATTGTTATCGGGGTGGGTGGGGTGTGGGTGTGTATAGAGTTACCATTGGCCTCAGTATTAGTATAAGAGATCTTAAAACCTAAGTTTTAAAAATCAATATATAATACTTGTAAAATTCTACTTTCAAAGGTTTTTGAAGTAGATTCACCAACTATAAAGTGGGTGTGTATAGAGTTACCACGATAACCTAGATTATTTCGATGTTACTGACTCAATCTTATCAAGTGGCCTCAGTATTAGTATAAGAGATCTTAAGAGAGCACCCATGAGATGATCGAGCACCATGCCAGATATCGAAGCACTCGTCAAAAAAAATTTTTCTTATTTGATATTCTCATTTTGTTCAGCATCATCGAAAACCTCTAAATCCAA